AAAAAAAAAAAAAAAGAAAGAAATGTTTCTAGAGCCAGCATTTCAAGAACATCCACTGGGAGTCTACCATCTGCCGGGCAGTGACAGAGCAGCTCACAGGAGCCAGATGCCTGCTCTCCTGGAGCTTACATTCCAAAGGATGGCTAACAGCTCACAGTTATTGAGTGCTTACAATATGCTAGCTGCTATGTGGGCCGACTCATTTAACTCGTACAGCTACCGAGGTGGGCAAACGCTATTACTATCATTCCTGTTTACAGGTGAGGAGACGGAAGCCCTGAGTTAAGTAAGCACACATAGGTCCAAGGATGGCTAGTAAGCAGCAGAACCGGGTTTAAGCCCAGGCCAACCTGCTCCGTAGTCCATGCTCTTAGCTATAGTCTCCATACACTGCAGGTCGGCACAAAGATTGTACTTACATAGTCCCAGAAAATCAGTACTAGAGGCCTAGGAAATAACTTTAACATTAAAGAAAGCTATCCCATTTATATAGAAACAGTGTTACTTCATGATATAAGGTTAAGCAACATTAATAATTTTTTTTTCAAAAAGAAATACAAATTAAGATACATACAGAAAAACGTTTACCTTATAATCAAAGAAATAAAACAAAATGAGATTTAACATTTTGCTTATTAAATTAGCAAGCAAAGAATTCAGATGGAGACTGCGAAGACTAATGCATTGTTAATGGAAATGTAAATTAATACAGTTTGAAAGACAGTTTGCATTCTGAGCCACAAAATACTTATTTCTTTTAACCTAGTTTTTCCATTTATAGGACTTTATCTTGGGGTACCTGGGTGGCTCAGTCGGCTAAGTGGTTGCCTTCGGCTCAGGTCATGATCTCAGGGTTCTGGGATTGAGGCCCAGGTTGTCAGGCTCCCTGCTCAGCAGGGAGTCTTCTTCTCTCCCCTCCCCCCTACATACTCTCTCTCAAATAAATAAATAAAAATTTTTAAAAAATACATGACTTTATCTTCAGGAAATAATCTAACATACGGAAAAAAGTTATGTGCAGCAAAGATCTTTGTTGCAGCAAGCAATACAGATTTATAACAATATTCATTATTTATACAGTTTAGTATATAAACAATTTAAAAATCCAAGCTTAAAAATAAAAATTAAAATAAAACCACACACCTCTGATCCAAATTTGTCCTTTTCAACAAAGCAGGTGTTTGTAGTCTCACCTCCTCTGGTTAGGCTGTGGTTAACATCAGCTAAAAGAACACATAAGCAGAAGTGTGCCAAAACACAAAATAGTTATCAAGATTTTATTTTATTTTTTTAAAGATTTTATTTATATATTTGTCAGAGAGAGAGCACAAGCAGGGGGAGCAGCAGAGGCAGAGGGAGAAGCTGGCTCCCCGCTGAGCAGGGAGCCCAACGTGGGACTCGATCCCAGGACCCTGGGATCATGACCTGAGCCGAAGGCAGCCGCTTAACCGACTGAGCCACTCAGGCGTCCCAGGTATCAAGATTTTAAAAAGGAAGAGATATCATTTGCCAGAAGTATGAGGAGTCTGGTGGACATATTTAACAGTATCAGGCCCCAAATTACATCAATCTGTGGGACTCTTTCTTTTTTCTCATCTCCAAATGCCAGAAGAGAATAGAGTTTTTTCTTTCCACAGTCCCTCCTAATTTTACACATTGCCAAAACATGTAAATTTATGCAAAAGCAAAATGCTATTTTAGTACTTCCTGACGGAATCACTTTTATTGTTATCTTCCTATAAAAACAAACATCTCACACTGAGTTACCCCTACAAATCCAAAGACTGAGAACTAATTATTACAATTACCAGGGATAATGAACATTTTTCAGCTAATTATTTTCCTTACAGACATTAATGGTTTTTTTTTTTTTAAACTACAGATCTTATCTAGGATGAGGAATAGCTCTGTGGTTTTCTTACCCTATCCAGACCCCCCAGATAAAGCTTTTGTCTGGAGTCCTCTATGTCTCCCTCCTGCTCTAGTGCACATCTTCAGGAGAAAAGGGAATGAGAAAATACTTGCTGGTAGACTCCCAGTGGAGGTTCAAAGGACAGGAGTACATGGGGCAGAGGGTACTGAGAGTGAAGCAGGACAGGTAGGCAAAGGTGAACACACTAAAACTCATCCTGCATGTATGCACATCAAATCATTTTATTTTTACAAATCAATTTATGCCTGCTTGAGAAAAGCAGGCATAACTGTCCTCATTTTACTGGTGAAGAAATTGAGGTTTTCAAGGTTTAAGCAGCTTGCCCAAAGTCACTTAGCTGCCAAGGGGCAAAAGCAGAATTCAAACCTGGTTTCAGTGCAGTCACTTTAAGCTGGTGTCCTTAATTATCTGTCATGCAGCACCTGTCTTCTGCAGAAGGAGGATATGTCTTCTGCAGAATCTGTTCATATTAACATGAACTTTATAAGTAGCTTGCTTTAAAAAAGCAGGTAGCAAAATAGTATGAAACCTCACCCTATTCAAACTATGGGATGTTTAAAATATCAAAATATGGGAGTGACTTAGGTATGAGTTCTCTGGTATGGCTATTTTTGCTAGATTTTTTATAAGTGAAAGTTATTTTAATATTTTAAGATTTTTTTAAATCAAGGATAAGAGGCGAGATACTATGTCCCCAGCAGGCTGGAGGAGAGGCTACTGGAACTAGTTAGCACTGGTGATGACTGCATTTGCACAATGTGACCAAGGCTTAGAAAGATTTTGCCCAGCTTTCCTAAACAGATCCTCCCTCAAGAAACAGGAGAAAATGTACTAGAGATACAGTAATAAGTGCTAGGACTTTTTTTCTCCTCTGTGGATACTAATGATAACTTTTTCTTCCTTTTCATGATAACTTTAAACCAGGACCTTTTTTTTTTTTTTTAAGATTTCTTTCTTTATTTTAGAGAGAGTGCGAGTGGGGGGAGGGCAGAGGGAGAGAGAATCTCAAGCTGACTCCCTGCTGAGTGAGGAGCCGGATGGGATGCGGGGCTCCATCTCACAACCCCAAGATCACGACTGGAGCTGAAATTGAGAGTAAGACGCTCAACTGACTGGGCCACCCAGGCGCCCCTATGCCAGGACTTTAAGAGTGATTACCTTCCCCAGGGGGTGAGCTATTACAACAGTATAGAGTAGTAACTGCTCTCCCATCACATACAGCATGTAACCACTTCTGCATAAGGCAGGTGGGAAATGTTCCACAGAGAAAATGTCTTTGTGGGGCGGGTGGCTCATTCATTAAGCATCTGCCTTCGGCTCAGGTCATGATCCCGGGGTCCTGGTATCGGGCCCCGCATCGGGCTCTCTGCTCGGTGGGAAGCCTGCTTCTCCCTCTCTCACTCCCCCTGCTGTGTTCCCACTCTCGCTGTGTCCCTCTCTGTCAGATAAATACATAAAATCTTTAAAAAAAAGAAAAAGAAAAGAAAATGACTTTGGAGTGAATATGAAGAAAGAGTCAGCTGGGGAAGCAAGAAAAGAGTAGAGAAAAGAGCATTTAAAGGTTCAGAGGAGTGAGAGCACAAGCTTGTGTTTCTCTGGAGTTGAAATAACAATACTGAAAAAGAAGTTGTGTGCTAGGATCTGTCCTGGAATAGTTCTCCAGCTTCCATCAATATGCAAAATTAGAATTCAGACAGAATCCTTAAAGTGTTGATTGATGGTGGTGCCAGTTAAGTGACATCACCCTGATGGATGTGGCAGTTTGCTGTCACCTTTTGATACACATTCTTCTCTCTCCATGTTGACATATCACACAGGTGATAGCCAGCCATAAAGATAAGGTATTATTTTCACCTAAAACAAATATCAAGTAGACAAGTTGTGGGTCTTAAGCAGAGATTTATCATCTTCTACAAAATACTAATGAAATAGTTGCCAACTGAGCTGAAATGATTATAGCTCCCCAAAATGTCCTTTCCTGAGAGAAACAAGCAGAATGCGAACAAGGTCTACCTTTATCCAAGAAGGCAAGAGCTGGATGATCTTTGTTCTCTCCTTCGAAGGAGTTATAAAAGACATCAATTTATTTATAGGATTTTCTATAAGGACCAAGAGACTTTCAGGCAAAAGCTCTATTTTCGCAAACTGAAAGAACAAAAAAACAGGCCACTCATTTTCAGAAGGCTATACTTGCATAATCCAAACATTTTAAAGAACATATTTATCCCATAGGAACAACAGAGAAACAGCATTTGGTATTTCTACTTGATCTGTGGAAAAGAGAGTATTTGGGGGTGCTCAGTTGGTCAAGCGTCTGCCTTCAGCTCAGGTCATGATCTCAGGGTCCTGGGACAGAGCCCCACATCTGGCTCCTTGTTCAGCAGGGAGCCTGCTTCTCCCTCTGCCTGACGCTCCCCCTGCTTGTGCTCTCTCTCTCTGACAAATAAATAAATAAAATCTTTTAAAAAAGAGAGAGAGAGAGTATCTGTACTAAGTGTCAACAACCACATTTCGAGGCCTTTCTAGGAGTTTTTTTACAACTATAAGAATGCATGCATGCATGTGTATTTATTTACAATTTGCCTCATTCCATGGAAGTTTGGAATGGCTTTCAGCAAGTACATGTTGTAACTAAATAACAGTAAAATATTAATAGAAATTTTGAAGTCCAGACAGGGAAAACGTTAAGTGAGAGTAGAAATTCAAGACCACTGAAATGAAAGACACAAATATGCATGCCATAATTAAACTTTGAGTTAGACTTTGGGGCCCTGAGAGGTCAAAATGAAGAGAGAGGCACAATTAGTCCCATTATTCTCATTAGTAGAAAGGAAAAGGCTTAGAACACCTCAGAAAAACAAAGTTTTCCCGGCCTTGAATTTTAAAAGGAAATTCTCAGATGGAGCATTCTTTGGGGGGCACTAAATTGACACTGCCCTCAAAACTTCTATGTTAAATGCAATAACTGATTTCTTTCTTCCTCCCAATCATCCTTTGATTAAAAAAATATACACACACACAAGAACAACAACAACAGGACAGACATTAAAACCCAGCTTCATGAAGAACATCTTTAAGTGACTAAGGTGATTTTATTCAGCAATTTTATTTGCCAGCAGACTGGCTGATAGGACTCAGAAATTCAAAAATGAGTGAATGGGGGACATTTTTTTCAGGCAATCTTTCAGAGAAGATATTCATTCAGTCAGCCATTCATTTCTGGAGCTTCTACTAGATGCTAGGAATCAAGTTATGTGCTAAGGATTTGAAAGTATGGTAAGACATATTCCCAATTCTTGAAGAACTCATGATTTAGTAAAGTCTGATTTTCAAAGATATTTTTTATCAGGGACCTTCTCTCCACAAATTTTCTGCAGTAACTCTTCATGGCAACTTAGAAGGGATGAGACAAAGAACAGTATTTTCCATGCTTCACTAAAAGCACTGATTACATGATTTCACAGCTTGTCTTTTGTTTCCTGAATAGCCTAGGTTTAAAGCCTAGCTCTGCTATTGCCTAACTATGTGAACTTGAGCCTCAGTTTCCTCATCTGTAAGAGAGAAGTAATTAATAATACTTATCTGATAGGATAATTGTAAGGATGCAATGTGTTAATAAATGTAAAACACCTAAAACAGTACTTGGCAAATAGTATTCAGTCAATGTTTGCCAGTGTAGGACACAGTACTAATGTTTCCAAATACTCAGTCCCCTTCCTGGTTCCTCAGGTATCCCCAGGATACCCTCTGGTATCTTCACTCGGTCCATGTCATTTGCAGGATCCTGCAGGAGGATTATTTATCTCCAACCCACTGACAATGGACTTGGCCTTGGACATTAACAGATGAGTAGAAATAATATACACACTGTCTGAGCAGAAGTTTTAATAGCCGATGCATGCTTCCACTGGGTCTCTTTTCCCTCTGGTATAAGTACACTGTGTCCCAAATAGGGGCTGCTCCTTCAGCCTGGATTATGGGATAAAAAGACACAGGGAGGGGTACCTGGGTGGCTCAGTTGATTGAGCACCTGACTCCTGGTTTCAGCTCAGGTCGTGATCTCTGGGTACTGGGATCGAGCCCCACATCCGGCTCTAGGCTCTGCATGGAGTCTACTTGGGATTTTCTCTCTCCCTCTACCCCTCCCCCCATTCGCGCATGCACTCTCTCTAAAATAAATAAATAAATAAAATCTTTAAAAAAAAAAAAGGCACATGGAGCAGTAACAGATCTAATGCCAATCTGCCAAAGATATGTAATGCAGACAAGAAACAAACCTCTGTTCTTGCA